ATAATAATAATAATAAAAAAAAAAACATAGTTGGAAACACCTATCACACACAATTTAAAAATAAATAGACTGACATAGATCAGGCAACACAAGAACATAGCTGAACTCAAGTGGCCCATTTCTGCAGTATAGGTGCATTCACGCCATATCGAAATTCCTGTAATTACGAGATTCCAACTTGTAAAAAGCGATCACGTCCTCGTAGAACTCATAATTACAACTTGTGAACTGGGAGTTTTCTGAGAGCTACGACTTGTACCATGCTGTACCACCTGACCACCGCAGGCTCTGTTTAGGCATTGATAGAGTTGCCATAGAAAAGTATAATTCCGAGTCCGAGGACATGAACAGCTCCGAGTAGAACGTCACGTGCTGTCATCTCAAAATTACAGTAATTACAATATGGTGTGAACGCAGCATTAGTTCCCTGCCTGGTTAATTAGTTCAGTGGTTCTGACCTGTCCTGGGGACACCCAACCACTGCATATTTTGTATGTGTCTCTCATTGAACACCTGATTCAACTCATCATCTCATTAGTAGAGTCTGCAAGACTTGAACTGGGTGTGGCCTATGAAGGAGACATACAAAATGTGTAGTGTTTGAGGACCCCAGATCAGGTTGGAGAACCATTGAATTAGTTGAACTACATAAGCTATTTCCAAGCATGTTGCAGTACTCTAACTGCAGGCACAGCATAAGGTAAATAGCTTGCAAACTCTTAAATTTTATGGTTCACCTCCTTTTAGTATCACTATCATTTTATATTATAAATTTAATAAAAAGGAAAAATCTGTCACCATTTACTTGTCCTTATGTTGTCCCAACCCCATAAGACTATTTTATTGTACTGAATGTTTACTTATAATATACTATTAATTAAATAAAAGGCCACTGAACTAAAATACAGAACACTTTCATGAATGTTTCTTAATACACTCAAGTAAACTTTTAAAAATGGCACTTTGTAATAATATCAAAAGTACACTTATTTTGATGTGTCGACTAACATACTGTCACATCACAAATAGGCAGCTACAACAGAACTCTAGCGCCAGTACTTTATTGAGGAGTGAAGCAGGTAACAGCTGCAGGGTAGACGAACAGCAGACGAGTAACAGTGTGGATTAAAGATCTACACTCTGCGTGAACATTGGTCCAATTAGCTATATGACATTGTGCAGTTGTAGATTATACATGCTGCTCTTTTTTATTTTCCATCCATTTGAACCAGAAGATTACAGTATGAAATAGGTTTTAACAAGCTATACAATAGAGCAATTTACCTCATGATCTGCCAACATATGCAAGGATGCAAACAATCTTTAAAATACTTTTTCTAATAGACCTGTTTTACATTACATTACAATGCTCTATTGATAAGTTAATAACAATTTGATAGTAGTTTGCAGAAAAACATTATTCTTTCTATTAACCTTATGAATGAAGCCATACACATTTCCATTTAATTCATTTGAAAGATTTTGCAAATGGGATCAATTAATGATTTACACACAAATATATTCTGCTCATGTTTCATTAACTTCATTAATCCAGTTCCAATAATGGTTTCTGTATGTTTTGAGATTGGCAATATTGAGAAATCTAAGGTCTTACTGTTGTTGGTTCATGAATGAGCTTTATGAATGAACTGCTAGCCTGCTTGCAACTGGGAGCTGGTATTTTACTTATATATGTAACTCTGGCAGGGGTCTCGTTCTTTATTAGCATCAAGTAAAATAGCTTCTGAGTTTATTGCATGGCATGGTGCTCAACACGGTGGTCTCTTTGTATGGATAAACTATGATTGTCCACATTCCATGCAGCCCACACAATATGATTCACTCTATATCTGTCTCACCCTCTAGCATTTCTGGACATCATGATTCTTGCAAGCTGAGATGTTGTTGACTTTAAGGTAAACAGTCTGGCTTATGTAGAGACCGAAATGTAATATTTGAAGCATAACAATATATCCTCTAAGGATGATCAGTGAGGACCCTCATGCTGCTTCCAATGAGTGAGAAAGCACATAAATGTGATCTCAGAACAACATGCTTTAAGCAAAGGTCTTTGAAATTCTGTGCATGTTTTAAGATCAGTGCATTCATTCTGTATGCTCAATAGATGGATTTATTAATTGACACATACATGATTTTGATGTTATTTTAGTAAAAAACTAATTTTATTTATAATATGAATTGCAATAATGAATATCGGATGCCCCCTCCAAGGACTGTATTTCCTCGACTGTTATGCTATCCAGATTTGATTTGTCACTTTGTAATTTTTATTTATTTTTGATTTTTGACTGAAAAAGTGTATTTGTTACAGTTTATTTGCATGTTATGAACTTTTGTACAATTAGCATTTCCTGTGCTCTGCAAGTTATTCACTAGATTAATGTTCTCAGATGCAACTCCTGCAATTGCTGGAGACATGATCTTAAAATACCTTGTTAGTTTTTGGCTACAACATTATTCATTCAGCCACCATATCCCAATTTTCAGAGTATACAAATTGAATTGTACCATGAGTGAAACAGAACATTGATACAATTAGCTATAGTACATTGTGCACTTGCAGATTTGTGCAACTGCTCTTATTTTCTATCAAATTGAACTAGAAGATTATAGTATGAAATAGGTTTTAAAAAGCCAAACAATAGAGCACTTTACCTCTTAATGTGTATATGTAAAGTTGCAAAAAAATCTTTAATACTTGCACTGCGTTTTCAATTGCCCTGTGTATTGACTGGAAATCCCTTTAACTTGCACTAACTTATGTTATGAGGTGTGTATTGACAAATGATTATTCGGTAACACTTTCTATGAAGCCCATATTTATAATACATTATAAGGGTATTCTTAAGGCATTATAATGAATGCATAATGCATTATAAAAAACCTTATAATATGTGGTATCATTTCATGAATATTCATAAGAACAGTTTTAATATATTATATTTACTTATTTGTGGTTATAGCTTTTAAGAGTATGATGATTTATAACACAATGAACATGTTGCATCCACTTTTACAATGGATTATATTTATCATAGTTATAATGTATTATAAGTCTCATATCTTGCCATTTTTCTTATGCTACTTAAAGCGGTCAAAGACCACTTATAAGTAGTAATAATAATAATAATAAAAATTTCTCTCAAACAGCCATAAGATCAGATATCAGATCAGAAGAATATGTAATATGACACATTTGCTTTGAACTATTTTTATTGTAATATCAGTTTGATTATTTTGATGGTACCCTTTAAACAGCTGTTGATAAGTGACTCTGCAACTACATATCAACTAGTGGTCATTAGAGTATTAGTATGTCTGCTACTGTAAATATTTGCTAACACTTTATTTTGATGGTCAACCAACAGATAAACTGACTATAAGTGTCTTTGCAAGTATGTCAACTTATTCTACCATACTATATTCTACCATTCTTGAGCATACTAATACTCTAATGAGAGTTAGTTGGCATGTAGTTGCAAAGTTGCTTATAGTCGATTGATTTAGGGGACCATCAAAATAAAATGTAACCATATAAAACATTGCATTTTTTTTCAGTTGGAGCATAGCGCTCACATCAATTAATTAACATTAGTTCCACAGGAAACACTCAAATAACACTCAACATCTAACCACTCACAAGCTGTACTAAGATACTGTGCAGATCTTAAATAAGCAATGTCAAGATATGATACAGTCCATTATTCTGTAAATGAAGTAGATTTAATATGGTGTTCATTGTGTGTTATAAATAATCATACTCTTAAACTTCTAACCACAAATACGTAAGTATTATGATGTATTATAATTGTTGTTATGATTATTCATGAGTTGATATAGCATATTCTAAGTTTTTTTATAATGCATTATGCATTCATTATAATGCCTTAAGAATACCCTTATAATGTATTATAAATACGGGCTTCATAGAAAGTGTTACCGATTATTCTCTATGGGACTATAACAGCGGGTGCTGGTGTTGCAGTGGCTCTTTGCATTGGGTAGCAGACAGTGCAGAAGAACTAATTAGATATCACAAAAAACACTAAATTAATTGGAAAAGGAGGACAATTCACTTCTAGACCTTGCTGAGATGGAGTGATCAGTGTGATTTCCATGCAGAATCTCATTAAAGTTTTCTTTGACCTTAACAAAAACATTTACTAGCCCGATGAGTGTTGTCCTAAGTAGCTGAGGATCATTAATTGATGAAATATACAACGCATCTATTATTCCACTCAATAACTAGTTCCATTCCACCATGCATTCCTCTGTGTGTTATGCATGCACGTGTGTTTTAGTGAGGGCAGATTTACAGCTTTTCCTAAATTTCTCTGAGATCTAGAGTGAGAACTAAACAGAATTTAAAGCAACCCAAAAAATGGAACGGTGTTGAAATGGAACGTGATCGGGTTATGTGCAAACTTTGCTTTAAGTCAAGTTACCTTTATTTATATAGCGCTTTATACAATACTGATTGTGTCAAAGCAGCTTTAGTGTCAAACAGGAAAATAGTTTGTCAATAATAATAATGCAAAAAAATAAAAAAAACCTTGGGAGAAACCAGGCTCAGTCTACAGTCAGGCTTTAGACTACAAAGTAATTTCAACATGTATAAATATTCAACACTAACAGGCTATGAGCTATTCAAGCTGACCAGCTCAACTAAAATGTTTTGATGCTTATTTTAAAGGGGTCATATGATGCGATATCAATTTTTCCTTTCTCTTTGGAGTGTTACAAGCTCTTGGTGCATAAAGAAGATCTGTAAAGTTGCAAAGACTAAAGTCTCAAATCCAAAGAGATATTCTTTATAAAAGTTAAGAGTCAGCCACGCCTACCTAAAATGGCTCGTTCTAACACGCCCCCACATACCTACGTCACTATCTGGGAAGATTTGCATAACACCACCCAAATGTTCACGCAAAGAAAGAAGGCGTAACTTTTATTCTCGCTGTAGTTTTGTTGATTCCGCCGCAATGTCGTAAAGACGCTGTGTGCTTCATTGAAAAAAGCGAAACTACTTTGTTTGGTCTTCCAAAAGAGGACGATATCTGCTTCATCATGCCTGGAGTTGATCCGTGCTGGTCGCTGAGGAAATACTACAACTTTGTGCTGAGGATCGCCCAGATCGGCTTTCACCGTGGACGAAGCGGAATCCAGCCCGGATGCGTCACATGTCCTTCCGGACGCTCCTTCGTCGAAATCTCCGGCCGCATCGTTCTCAAGCCTGCGCCTCTGCTCACTCTAACCCTCCGGCCGTTCCTCACGCTAGCCCCCGGCCTCTGCTCACTCTAGGCCGCGGTGTGTGACGCCGTTTCTTTGTGAAAGCGAAACTACTTTGTTTGGCCTTCCAAAAGAGGACACGACTAGAATTCAGTGGTTAAGTTGTATTTACAACACTGTTCCAGAACACTTCAACAGAATATATGTTCAGAATGCAATGTTCTGTGTCAAAGCAGCTTTAGTGTCAAACAGGAAAATAGTTTGTCAATAATGCAAAAAAATAAAAAAAACCTTGGGAGAAACCAGGCTCAGTCTACAGTCAGGCTTTAGACTACAAAGTAATTTCAAAAAAAAGAGGAATACAACACAACTGCCAACATTTTCACATCCCTAATGATTATTCAGTATTCAGAAACGTTGCCTACCCAGTCACAGCGAGGTAATATAGTAAAATGTTGGAGAGACATGCCGGTTTGAATGTGTAGTTTCTTGGCTTTTTAGTGGACCTCAGGGATGTACTCATCTTATTTGTTCTGTGCTTTTGTATGTGCATTTTTTTTCTTTTCTATTTGATCAGATAAAGCTGATAGCCTAACCCTGCTAGAACCTCAGAGAGCTTTGTTTTACAGTATCTGATGTCTAGAGAAGGATCTGTCATCATTTACTCACCCTCATGTTCTTCCAAACCCGTAAGATGTTTGTTCATCTTCGAAACACACAAAATATATTTTTAATTCATTCTCAGGTGTCAAGAATGTGTGGTTGAGGTTAACTTTTGGGTGAACTATATAGCTTTAAGCTTTACATCATCTGATTTCAAAATATTATGCATTATAACAAGGGATAATGGCACAAGAAGTTATGGAATTTTAGCTAATCCCAAGACTTTTGACCAGCCAGTTCTAGGCTTGAAGATTCAAATTACACACTACTTCTGTTTGCTTCACTGATAATTGAAAATCAATGAGAAGTAAAGCTGAATTTCAGATATTTGATTTTACTTCCTTGACATATGTAAACACTTTGGCTCTGTGATGCTATCAATGCATTCTGCTGTTTGTGGGCTATCTGTTTTTTCAGGCCAGTGGAAGACAGAAGACAAGGTGAGTGGCACATAAATTCTACACTTCAGCTTTAAGAGCTGACTTGTGAAGCACTTGCACCTAAAATTGCACAACAAATAAAGAGTATGAATAAAGAATCAAAGCCTTATAAGGCAACTCAACTGAACTTTGCGAAAGTACTTTCTTATGTTCATCAGACCTGGTGTTTTATCAGTCAGTTCCAGTTGTGAACTAATAGTAGGACATGAGTTCTGCCCTTCTGGATGACTTTTCTATGCCTGTTTAAAAACACCCATAATTGAACTCCATGTGTGCAGTCTTTCGGTAATGGAACATCACATTTGACTATTTAAACTTAAGTCATATTATGACATTATAAAAATATGTGTCTTTATGTTTTCTGCAGGCATTGTGTCACTCATCTCTCTGGCCGTGCTATCATATGAACGCTACTGTACAATGATGGGCTCCACGGAGGCTGATGCCACCAACTACAAAAAGGTGGCCGGTGGGATGGTGATATCCTGGGTCTACTCTTTAATTTGGACTCTGCCCCCGCTATTTGGTTGGAGCCGCTATGGCCCAGAAGGTCCTGGGACCACCTGCTCTGTAGACTGGACAACCAAGACAGCCAATAACATCTCTTACATCATTTGCCTCTTTATTTTTTGCCTGATTGTCCCCTTCCTGGTCATTGCCTTCTGCTATGGTAGGCTGCTGCATGCCATTAAACAGGTAAGTGAAACACTGTCATTGGTTATCTGAAATCATTTTTTCTACTAAAAATGTTGCATGTGCCCTTGGTAGTTCAGTATTTGATTAAGGTTAGGATATCTGATATTTAGCAGCTGCACTGTAGGGAGCATCCTGGGGTTATGTTCCTTGTGCAAGGGCACAATGCTGGTAGGGGATCTCAATAACATTCTAGTTCTTGTTGCCAGCCAATATCCCTAAAGGAAAAGTTCACCCCAAAATGAACAAAAAAATATTATTTTTTATTCACCCTTCACATTGTTTTGAACATGTTTTTTAGTGGAATACAAAAGTAGAGTATTGAAGAGTCTTCACACATCTCTTTTCACATCCAAGCTCCAAAACACAAAAATAACTAATTCTTTTTGCATTGGTGCTCAACAATTTATCAAAAATGTATTTAAAAATTGAGCAAATCACTTCGGTTGTCACATGTCTCTTAATTGAAAAAAGGACATTTGAGAACTGCAGCAGATGGGAAGATTTTCATTAAATGACTATGTGAATATCACTCTGTTTTTCATATAGTGGTTTCATTGTTTCACATAAGGTATTTCAGCTTGGAAACAATAAAATAACTTGCTTCGACTTGGAATATTGCTGGCCCATCACAACCTACAGAGGATAATCACCCAATATAGGTATTACATTGAACACAAACTACTGTCTGCTGTGTTCAAGCACGTGGTGCATCTTTACTGGTGTATTGGGCTTAGTCCTTTATATAAGTGAGCATACCTGGCTCAAAGGATTGTATTTGCCTTTACTGTGTGAGAGCTTTCTATTTTGAATATTGCTTGAATATTGCTTGGTTGCATTTTATTTTGCTATTTCACTGGAATGGTGAACGCTTGGATAAAAGATGAGAAATGAAGTCGGTTGTCACATGTCTCTTAATTGAAAAAAGGACATTTGAGAACTGCAGCAGATGGGAAGATTTTCATTAAATGACTATGTGAATATCACTCTGTTTTTCATATAGTGGTTTCATTGTTTCACATAAGGTATTTCAGCTTGGAAACAATAAAATAACTTGCTTCGACTTGGAATATTGCTGGCCCATCACAACCTACAGAGGATAATCACCCAATATAGGTATTACATTGAACACAAACTACTGTCTGCTGTGTTCAAGCACGTGGTGCATCTTTACTGGTGTATTGGGCTTAGTCCTTTATATAAGTGAGCATACCTGGCTCAAAGGATTGTATTTGCCTTTACTGTGTGAGAGCTTTCTATTTTGAATATTGCTTGAATATTGCTTGGTTGCATTTTATTTTGCGATTTCACTGGAATGGTGAACGCTTGGATAAAAGATGAGAAATGAAGGGCAAATTGTGTGTGCTGACCACCGACCAACTGAGAAAAGGATAATAATGTAACAGATGTATTTTTAGCTGTTGGTAAGATTAATGAAACAACCTATTCTAACTTACTGCAGTCACTATTTTCAACACACATGAAGAAAGATAGTATAATCACAGACTGACAGCTGAGATAAAAATGTTAGTACTGAAGTCCCCCTTAAAAAGTTATGACATTTTTATAAATTCAGTGGTGTAAAACAGAGTCCTGTAAGACAGAAAACTGTGATCTGCAGAATTTAGAACCACCCTCAATAAATCACACCTGATCAAGCTAATCAGTGTCGTCCAGGTTACTAGAAATATCCAGGCAGGTGTGTTGGAACAGGATGAAGCTGAACTCTGCGTGACGTTTGTCCTCTTAGGGGGTGTTTACACAACACCGTTTTCAGTTAAAGATGGAAACCTTTTTATGCGTTTAGGTTTTTGAAAACAATATCGTTATTGTCTCCATGTAAACGATGAAAACGCAAATTTTCGGAAAATGGTGACATCATGCGTTTGCGTATTTATTCAGTCGATATGAAAGTGTATGTGCATAGGCACGTAGTGTTTCTTTACAAAGTGACATTATTTGATTGTGTTTGTCTACTGGTTTTACCTGTACAGTATTGAGGGAACACATCACAGCCTGGACACAATTCTGCGTTCTTTTTAAAAGTGTGTTTCTTCCATCTGACAATCAGGAATGCATCTTGAGAGGTATCCTTGACCGTGTTCAGGCACCTGATGAGCCTTTTCCAACATTTGTAGCGCATCTATCGAGCACATTCAAATGTTCAAAAAGTCTCCACCAACAGAAAAAGATAAAATTGAACTGATTTGTAAACATGCATTAGAGTGATACAGAGTCTCGATTTATGGTTCAGAGATCATGTCAGTCATCGTCCTACTGATGCGGGCGCATGAGCTCCATTCTGTTCTTCGCCCAAACAGCCGCAATGAGCTACCGCTACCAATGAAGGGACAAGCATGCAAGAAAGCAAAAAATTTACTGCTTTAAATGTTCTAAACCTGACTTCACATCCCAAAATTGTCCAAACTGCAGCTTTGTGCCACAAGCAAATGTATTCACAGGTGTTGCAAAGCAGAACTTTCAAACAGGATTAGAACAGGTAATCCTCCCTCCAGAAGATAAATATGCCCCAACATTCTCCACATTCTGTCCACACTTGAGCCACTCTTCCTGGGTCATGTGGAAGACCCGTCTTCTTCTTCATTCTGGAATACTCCATTCATTGTCAAAGTAAACCTCTACAACAAAGCAGTTGACATAGCTCTTAATACAGGCGCTTCCCTCTCCGCAATTCAGACTAATATTATTTCTGGCATTCTAGAAAACTCTGAAAAAGTGCACCCTGTCAGGATCCTGCCCTGACAGCCTTGTCTGTCTTGTCTTTGTTCAATGTTTCTTTGTTTATCTTGTGCCTGAACACATGGTTGTGTCTTTGTTTTTGTTGGCCATGTGCTCCTCTTGTCCCGCCTTGTCAATTTCAATAACCACACCCCCTTGTTTAGTCCTTGTTCATCCGATTGTGTTCAGCTGGTCCTCGTGTGCTCTAACCCTTTATAGGGTGCTCATTTCCCTCTCGTCGTTGGTGGTTCGTTGTCTCCTATGTTGTCTGTGTACACTATACCTTTATCTATCTGCATCATCTTGATTGCCATCTTTGTCTTCAGTGCCTCCGTTTGTCGTCAGTGTTCTTATTATTGCCGTTCCCATTTTTGATCTGTGTCTTCTCTTGTCTCCCCTGTTGTCTGGTCATTGAGTGTGTCTGCCGAGTGGTTCCTGCCCTGCTACCTGTGTTCCCCCTGGTTGTGGATTCTCCTGACCTGGCAGACCTGTTTGGAGCTTCAAGAGTCACCACCCCCAGGGCCAAGCCTGTGGTGCCTTGAGCTGCTACCTTAGCCTCCTCTTGCCACTGAGTCTGGAGTTACCCCCCCATCCGTGACCAGCCTGTTCTCTTGTTGTGTACCCTGCCTTGTTGTGTGACTGTCTCCCCTGCCTTATCCTATGGGATTCTAAGTCTGCTAATAAATTGTTTCCCCCGTCCATTCTGCAGTTGGGTCCTTCCGTGAAAGCCTTGACACACCCTTGGTTATCGCCCCAATTCAATTAGCTAATAAAGCAACTTGCATCCCAACCGGCATCATTTGGCTGAATATTGGATTCAAGGAGAAACGTTTTTACTATAGATTTGTTATTATCCCTGATCTCGCTTCACCGCTTATCTTAGGGATGGATTTCATGTTAAGAGCTGCAGTCAACATTCATATTTCATCCAGGACTGTAACCTTATGTGACACCATTGCGCCAGAACCATGTGAGCTGGCAAGTGAATGGATGGAGATGCCAGGAGTAGGGAGCTTGATGTTCATGGATGTCCAAAGGGTCATGAACACTGTCCTCGCTGGCCTGATTTATAAATGCTGTGCAGTGTACTTGGACGACATCGTAATAGCTTCACCCTTTTAATGATGAGACCTTTTTTGTAATCAGGCTCTCAAAAAGTATATAACAATTTGGATATAGATTTATCGGCCAACATATCGGTTATCGGCTTTCAAAAATAAAGAATAATCGGTTATCGGTATCGGCCAAAATTTTCATATCGGTGCATCCCTAGCCCAAACCCTTCAGGATGTCTAGCGAGATGGTCCTTATGCCTGCAGGACTTTGGTTTTAGTGTTGTGCATAAGCCAGGTGTTTAAAACAAGGTCCCAGATGCTTTTTCCCGCAACCCAATTCAATGCGAGGCTACCCCAATAGGCATTCTGCCAGATTATGCAATCATTGGGGGGATGGATCTCCGTAGCCTGTCTTCAGTCGTGCTGACAGACAAAGCACATTTGAGGCAACTACAGGAAAATGACCCAGTGGTCAGTGATCTTTTATGTACCCTTAAGAGTGCTGGAAAAGAGGATGTGGATGAAAATATGTAATTCCAGATGGTTTGCTCTATGTCAGAGACCCCAAAGTGACTTGTGGACTACATCCAATGAAGCAGCTCAAATTTTATACACCTACCTCCATCAGAGGTACTTTGTTAAAATATTACCACGACCACCCTACTGCCGGCCCCATCGTAATTACCAAAACATTGACCAGGCTAAAGTTTAGGTTCTTCTGGACAAAATTGCAGAGGATGTGAAGAGATACGTTACTTCATGTTCCATGTGTCAGTTGACAAAGCCAAGTCAAAAGAAACCAGCGGGTCTGGTGATTCCAATTAAACCACAAAAGCCTTGGGAATACACAGGAGTAGACTTTGTGGGCCCTCTCCCTCGGACCCAGAATGGAAATGTGTACATTCTTGTATTTGTCGACTACTTCTCAAAATGGGTAGAAATAAATGTTTCTGCAAGTAAATTCCTGAGCGAAATCTTTGCCAGACACGGTGCACCAACTTACCTGATTTCAGACCATGGCACGACATTTGTGAGTAACCTCTTTGAGTATGTGGTGGCCGCCCTGCGTACAGAACACAGGTTGACTACGGCATGTCACCCACAGACAAACGCTATTGAATGGGTGAACCGTACCTTGAAAACAGCCATTCGTGGGGGACAAACACAACTCATGGGACAGATACATACCTCAGATATGGTTCGCTCTGC